GGCTGTGGTGGTGCGCGGGCCGACCTGGGCTTGCGGCCGCTTTACGGGTGGAGGAACAGCAGGAGCACACCGTATCTGTCTGTCTGCCCTTGTTGGCTCATATCACCTCAGTTCAACCTGTCTCACCTGCAGTTGCTCACTTCACAGGCCACCCAATCCACCCCACCCCCACCCCGAGTCCACCCCAGCTCCCCTCGGCCCTGTCTGCACCAGCTTCCAAGACTGACTCTTTAAGGTGGTGGAAGACCTTGGCCTACCCCTTGGAGCAGTGTCCCCACCCTCAGCGAGCTCCCATGGAGGGCACGGCAGTGACCAGGGACTTGGGGGTGGGGCACTGTGGACTGGGAAATGTGGGGGTTAGGGAGAAGCTTGGGGGGCCACAGAGGATCCTGTGTGTGTGACGGAGGAACGTTGTGGGTGGGGGGCACTGGGGGGACCAGGGAATGTGGGGGATGGGAGGTCCCATCAACACAAGAGGGGGAAATGGGTGGGGCGGAGGGGGGGGCTGTGGGACTTTCCCTCCCACGTGACTTTTCTGCACACCTGAATGAGTTCGAATCTAGAAGGTTTAAAACGCAATGTGGGGAGGGTGGGTGGGGGCTCACCAGCTGGGTGCACTTGTCGGTGCAGTAGCCCGTGAGCGTGAAGGCGGGCTCCCGCGGAGGGATGGCCATCACGGGCGTGTACACCAGCCCCAGCTCCATGATGCCCGCGTCGTAGCGCCGCAGCGAGCGCGTGTAGTACAGGCGGATGCCCGAGGAGTCGCGCCGGCCTGCGGGAAGGCCAGCCGTGAGCCCCTCCGTGCTCCGCGGGGCTGGCGCTGGCCCCGCACCTGCTGCCTGTCCCCACCCCGCAGCTGTCAGGGCCCATCTCCCACCTGTTGCAAGGGAAGAGCAGCGGACCGGGAGCCGGGCGGGGCGGGGCCGGGATGAAGGCTCCCCTAGCGGGGTGGGCGTGGCTCGGTGGATTTGGGACCGGGAGAACATTGGATCTTGCCCTGGGATGGCTTCCAGAGCGCTTGTCTATGTCGTCTTCCACGGGCCAGGAACCTCAGCTGGAACTGGAGCTGGAGCTGCAGCCTCGAGGCCCCGGGCTGAGGCAGAGAAGGGGTGGAGCACCCCCCGGACACCTCCCCAAGTAAATGAGAGTGTGTGCACCCCACGCTGCCTCACTTTGGGCCTATCTACTGAGCCCTTCTCCCTGAAGTCGCTCAGCAGGAGCATGGCCGCCTGGGGCAGGTTAGCACTGTGCAGTCACCATCCCGGTCACTGTCCTTCTTAGGGTCAAGGGCACGGGGCTGGTCCCTCTGCCTCTCCAGAAGGAGCACTTGGTGCTCAAGCCACCTGCTGTGGGTCTGGCCCCAGCTGTCCTTCCAGACCCACCACCACCTGTCTGCCAGCCAGCCACCCTGTGAGGGCTCGTGGGGCTGCGATGCTGGAAACCGTGCCACCAGTGCCGAGACCAGCAGGGTCGCCTGTGGTGGTCAGGCTCCAATGCCACAGCCCCACACGAGCACCCACAGGTCAAGAGAGAGGAGGACACCGTCTTTGGCCAAGTAGAGGTCACTGAGGGTGAGCTGGACCCTCGGTGAGATGGGGCCCCACTGGCTGCGATGGGGATTTGCACTTGACCTTAAGGATGGCAAGGATCAAGCCAGGTTTTGTTCTGTGGCACGTGGGGTCTCTGTGAGCTGCTGCAGACCCAACAGTAGCGTATCCATCTGCTCATCTGTCCTCTCTCTGCCTGCCTGCCTACCTACTGAGAGAGGTAAGGTTTATTGTGCCAACCTGGCTGATAAACACAAGTGGCTTAGTGAACCTCGCCTTTTTAGTTCTCAGGTCTCTTGCTTTCGGTGGTTGCACCAGAGTGCAGCTGCCTTAGCCAGTTCCCTGCTTCAGCTGGCAAGGCTCACTTCCTGTGAGACATCCCCAAGGAGAAGCCACATGGACCTACCCTGATGCAGCCCTGGGTGCTGGAGCAGCCGTGTGGAGACCCTGCCAGTGCTGAGATGCTTACACGCTCACTGATTCAGCTTTCCTCCTGCAGTTGGCATCATTGCGTGTGTTTTGTGAGATGGAGGGGGACTTTGTAGATTGGTGTCAAACATATGTGCTGATGTTGGACTTGTGGGCTTGGGCAGCACTGGGCTGGGATGCTTTCTGAATATACACTTACCCTTTATATAAAACTCTCTCTTATACAGATGAGTTTCTGTGGATTTGTTTCCCTAGCTTACCCAGACTAACAGACCCACCTACCCACCTACCTGCCTGTCTTTTACGTACCAATCTACCGATCATCTGCTTACCTTTTATCTCTCTACCTACCACCTACCTGCCTACCTACCACCTACCTGCTTACCTATCATCTTCTTTATTCCATGTCCAACTCCCACATTCACAGGAGGTGATTGAGACTACCATGGCTTGGGTCAGCCGCACCTCCATCCTCAGCGTGAAGACAGAAGGAGCATTTGGATAGTGGGGCCGGCAGGAAGATGGAACGTACCCCGACTGCCAAGAAAACAAACAGATCTGTCCTGGAAGCAGGACAGTCAGAAGGATGGCGAGGCTTCGTCCCGTGTATTTTGGACATCAGGAGAGACCGATCCCTGCAGAGGGACATCGGGCTCGGTAAAGTAGAGGGGCAGTGTAAAAGAGGAGGACCCTGGACAGGGTGGACGGACACGGCAGTTGCAACCATGGGCTCAAGTGTAGCGGCGACTGTGAGGCTGGCGCAGGACCAAGCAGGGTTTTGCTCTGTTGCCATGGGGTCACTTGAGTCGGCCACACCTAACACAACCACCGCACCACCTAACATCTATCTATATCATGACCCTCTTCTGGCGCCAGTGTTCAATGCGTCCAACCTGTTCCTGAGGTGTTCTCTGAATTCAGGTGGGACAGACTCCAGGTCGTACTGCGGCTCTGGTCGACTTTCTTCACAGTGCTCAGCTGTACCCTGAATTCAGGTGAGAGCGATGGAGGGTTTGCTCCACAGCCGGCCCCTGGCCAGGTTTAGCTGCTGACCTTGAGCTTCTCCATCGCCTCTTCCCGCAGATGCGGTCCGTCTGATTTCTGGGCCTTCCTGCTGGACACGTCCGTGCATGTAGTCACCTCTCGTGTTGTTGAGAAAAGCTATTTGCCAAGAACAAGTCGATGATGTGGCGAACTTCTGTCACGTGATCTCCAGCTTCGTTTCTGTCACCAAGTCCATATTTTCCAACCACTGACTCTTCCTCTTTGTTTCCAACATTTGCCTTCCCATCACCCATAATTATCCATGCAGCTTGACTACATGCTTCATCAATTTCTGACCGAAGACAATGATAGGCCTCTTCAAATTGTTCACCACTAGGCTTTGTTAACTTGTATGTGGACCTAGAGGAGTTGCATGAACAGAGCAAGACAATACGTCAGGTTTCAAAACCAGGAGAGGCGTGCGTCAGGGCTGTGTCCTCTCCCCGCACTTATTCCGTCTGAGCGCTGAGCAGATCATCAGGGGCTGGGCTGTCTGAAGAAGAGTGTGGCATCAGGATTGGAGGAAGGCTGAACAACAACCCACAACGTGCAGGTGGCACCACCTTTCCTACCGAGGACGGCTTGAAGCGCTTGCTGATGAAGACCAAGGACCGCAGCCTGCAGTGCGGAGACAACTCCGTGGAAAGAAGACCGACATCCTCCCAACGGGACCCACAGGAGCATCCTGATCCACGGAGAAAAGGTCGATGGTTGTCCAGACCTTGTCTTGCTTGGGTCCACAATCAGGGCTCATGGAAGCCGCCGTCAGGAGCTCAAAGGACGCATGACGTGAGCGAACCCTGCAGCACAAGACTCTCCAGGGTGTGGGAGAGCGAGGATGTCACTTGGAGGACCGAGGTGTGCCCACTGCTCGACACTGAGGTGTGCCCACGGCCTCCCAGCATGCATGTGCTGGACACTGACTGAGGAGACCCAGGAATGATCGGTGCATCTGAACTGCGTGCGGTGCTGGCGAAGGATGCGGCAGGACCACGGACGGCCCGAAGGACGGACAGACGAGTCTGCCTTGGGAGATGTGCAGCCAGAGCGCTCCTTAGAAGCAAGGGTGGTGAGACTGTCTCAGGTACTTGGGACATGTTGTCAGGAGAGACCAGCCCTTGGAGAGGGACATCCTGCTTGGCAAAATAGAGGGGCGGTGAAAGGGAGGAGGGTCCTCAAGGAGAGGATGGACACGGCGGCTACAACCATGGGCTCAAGCATGGGCAATGGTGAGGGTGGCACGGCACTGGCAGAGTTTCCTTCTGTTGTGCCCAGGGTGGGTAGGGGTCAGAACCACTCGATGGCACCAAACAACAGCTATCTATTTATCTATCTAGCTAGCTATCTATCATTTCTAGATCTCTCTACCTATAGCTCTATCATTTATCTATAGAGCTATCTATGGATCTATGTAATTATCTATATATCTCTCTATAGCTCTATCATCCATCTATCTATCTATCTATCATTTCTAGATCTCTCTACCTATAGCTCTATCATCTATCTATAGAGCTATCTATGGATCTATGTAACTATATATCTCTCTATAGCTCTATCATCCATCCATCTATCTACCTATCTATCTATCATTTCTAGATCTCTCTACCTATAGCTCTATCATCTATCTATAGAGCTATCTATGGATCTATGTAACTATATATCTCTCTATAGCTCTATCATCCACCTATCTATCTATCATTTCTAGATCTCTCTACCAATAGCTCTATCATCTATCTATCTATCTATCTATCTATCTATCTATCTATCTATCTATCTATCTACCTATCTATCCAGCTATCTAACTATGTACCTATCCATGTATGTATCTATCTATCCATCTGCCTATCTACCTACCTATTTATCTATCTGCCTATCTGTCACCTGTGATCTATCTTGACCACTGGGCAGCCTCCCATCAGCCATCTGCATCTGGTGGTCAGTGATGTGGGGCTCCGGTGCCCACAGGCGCAGCCCCACATCTGCATGACCCCCGGTGTCCCCGACCCCTGCCTGGACCTCCGCTTGTTGTGGGCCAGTCTGCAGCGCCGTCCTCAGAAGATCTGAGGGCAGGCCCCTTGGGTGTCTAGAGGGCTGGACAGGCTCCACCCCTGGGATGTCTGCCAGATGAGCTGGCATGGCCTGTGTGGCAGGAGGGGCCTGGGACCCCTTCGTCATGTGTGGGGAGACGTGTGAGGTGGTACATATGGGCACATCCACAAGGACAAGAATCTTCTCAGAAAGGTGCCACCATCAAGGCCTGGCACACAGTCCCGGGCTGGGAGGCCGTGGTGCCCAGGAACACGCAGGGCAGACACTGCAGCCGGGAGGCCAAGGAGTCGGGAGCAGTTTCTGTTGTCTCCTCCCTTCTCCCTGACCCCCACATGTCCCCTCCTGTCACTGAGAAGGCCAAAAGAAGAGGGCACGGACCCTAATTCCTGCCCTGGGGTCGGAGGTTGCTCCCACACATCCCAGCACCTCCACGGACATTCTGCGTGGTAAGAATCATTGCACACACACACAGACACACAAAGAATCATCGCCCCCCCCCCATTTTACAGACAGGGAAACTGAGGCTCAAACCCCGAACTACTAAAGACTTCAGCCAAGACCTGCCAAGCCGCAAAGTGCCAAGCTGGGGCTCGAGCCCAGAGCTGGTCACTGGCTGCCAGGGGTCTTGCTGGGGGGTCTGGGCCCTCCCTGCCCCCTCCCTTTGGAATGCTCCGCCTGGCCTCCCTCCCGCAACCCCTGTCCTTGTCCAAACTCCAGCAGCTCCTCACTCTCCAGGCTGATGACCTCAGGGGGGAAGGACCAGAAGGGGGGTGATGCAATTTGTTAAGCTGGGGATTCAGCCACGAAATAATCGTGGGACCTTGGTATTTATAGAAGAGCGACTCACCCCAAGATTCAGGGAGTGACAGGCCCATCCTGGCAGCTGCAGAGGGCACACAGGTGCACCGGGGCATCTGGCAAACAGGCTGCCCTGCCGCTTAAGGCTTTTCTCCAAAAATCCCTTTGCTTTCGGGTTTTAAATGAGCAATACATCGCACGTGGGGCTTAAATGCAGGTGACGGATTCCCTGCCGCTCAGGTCACAGATCATTCCACGGCTACATGGAGCACCACTTACGCCGCTGAAACATCACCATCGCTGCCAATGGACAGGGAGCAGTGCCAGCCTTGGGCCCCGGGGGTAGAGGTGGGGGTGGGGTTTGCCCCGCCTCCCCAGAGCAGCGGGAGGTGAGAAAACAGGGGAGGGGGCTCACAGTGAGGGCCGGGGGCTGGCACTCAGCCTGGAGTGATATTCTTCCTTAGCGCCCAGGCTATTTCTGCCTTTCCCTCACACGGATAGCACAGGGCGATCCAGCAGCGCCCGCCCCCTCTCTGCTTCTGCCCCTTCACTGCTAGCCACTCCTGGACACACTCTCTGCTCCCCTCCTCCCATCCCTGCACAGCCTGGACGGGACACGCCTCCCCCTCGACCCTGGCCCTCTGCTCATGCGTCCCCAGGGCGCCTCTCACAGGTCTGCAGGGAGAGTGGCCATCCCGTCAGTCCACGGAGCCAGGGTGAGGCCTGGGGTTGGTGAGTGACCACGTAGCAACTCGGCAGCACTGCACAGTGAGGACAAGCCCTGCGCACCAGGGGACATCACTCACCAGTCACATGCCACACTCTGTCCTGCAGAGGCCGGACAGCAGGGCCCACTGCCCAGGAGAGGCATGGGGACCCAGAGCAGGCCCGCCTGCACCCCTGCACACGGTCAGGAAACCGGGGTACACACTCACTCCGCACACACCGGCCACCTACCTTGGGTGTTCAGAGGGTTGTGGTAGTGGACCTCTAAGCGGAGGTACCGGGAGGAGCCCTGACCGCCAAAGGGCAAGCCCACTTCCTCCGGGTAGTAAAACGCCTGCAGGTGGAAAGGGGAGTGAGTGTCAACAAAGAGTCTCACAACCCAGTCAACCCCAGTGTGTGTGGGGAGACAGGCCCTCGTGGTCAGCAGGCCCACCCACCACTCAGAATGAGGGGCAGCCCTGGTGAGAGGCTTGCACCCACTGCACACAGTGGAGAAGTGCACCTGGGCCCTGCCTGGCCCCTACACCCCCACCATCTGCCGACACCCTCCCTCTCCTGCTGGGCTGCTGAATCCTGGTGGGCCCACGCTGTTCCCCAAACCCACAGTGCCAGGGGGGACAGGAGGCCAGCCTTGGGGACTCCTGTGGGATCTTGGCACGCTGCGGCTAGCAGGCTAGGCGAGGGGCGGAGACTTTGAGTGGGGTGGCGGGTGGGGGAGTGATCATTTCTGCCTCCCACCTCTCCAGCCAAGCCGCTGGGGAGACAGGCAAAGGGGTTGGGCCTAAGGACAGGGGACAGGTAAGGGGGTTGGGCCCAGAGAGGCGACACAGGTAAGGGGGTCAGATCCAGAGGAAAAGAGGGATGGATAAGGGGACCTGGCCCAGAGAGGGGACACAGTTGGGTGTCCACCCTAAGATCCCAGTTGCCTGCCTTAGCACCCAGGGCCTGGACCCGTCTGTGGCTGCAGTCATGAAGGCCCAAGAGGGGAGATAGGTTAGGGGTCACCCTAGCGAGCGGGCACAGTGGCGGTCAGCCCTGAGGTCCCCATGGCCCACCTTCGCGCCCAGAGCCCAGGCAGCCAGCACGTGGCGGCAGTAGCTGAGACGCTCCGGCTTCATCTTGGAGTCGCAGGGCCCGTTGAAGTGGGGGAAGCTCTCGTAGGTGGCCGAGCACTGGAAGATCTCCATGTGGTGGACCAGGGCCTCGTTGCCCGCGGTGACAATGGGCTCGTACTGCGGCGAGGAGGACGCCCACTGAGCCTGGGGAATCTCGTGCCCACCCGCCCACCCACCTGAAGGGGCTCGTTCCGCCCACAAAATAGGAGGCTTGGCAGTGGCAGGG